TGCATTTTGTTTCCATTTGTGCCTCAGCTTTACTCCTAACAGTGGAGTTGTTGAACTTTGAGTGACGTGTAACAGTGGAGTGAAGAACATGGGTCAATATATTTAAGGATGTGTCTTCCATCGTTAGAAGTTAAGAAACTTAAATGTCAGAAGTGACTAATTAAGGTCAGCATCCACTGTGCTGTGCTGCTGAGTGTGACCTTCAAGCTGTTCCCAAAAGTGTTAACCCAGGGCATCAACTGAAGTCTGACAAGTCATCTGCAAGCATATTGGGTAGCCCTATTTAGTATTTCAGGTAAGTATCGAGTTAACAGATTAAAGAAAACATGCTCGCGTGATATTATACAATACAGGCAGACAGAGCATGTAACTGACTCTAAATAACTCAACGTAACTGCTGAGCTCCTAAGTTCTTTTAATGCTTCTAGAGAACATGCTTTAAAATATGGGTGGACAGTCTAGCAATGGTTACAGGCATCTTCTGACTGAAAGTGCTGTCCCACTAGTGTTAGTGTAACATGACAATTTTCAGAAAAGGACACTCAAAACTCTAAAAGTAAATTTGACATGCACTTGCAGTAAACATACAAATATCTTTTACCATTGTCTCATATATGAAAAATAGTTCAAGTTACTTAAGAATATCCTCACACTACACTGGTAAAGTGTTTACTTTAGAATTTTTCTAAAAGACACGTACATCTACTGGAAATCTTAAGCCACAAAGGCATCATCAACAGCTTATCACACATACATGATGCTTCTCCCTTTCACACAGGTTTATATACACTGAGTAAATAATTAAATATTGCACTTATTGGCCCATGATCCCTCAGTTTTGAGGTATTCAAAAATAGAAAACATATCTAGTTTTTGTAACATAATTTCATGCAACATTTAAGACATTTGAAATCCACGAACACTAGTATATAGATTACACATTGTGACAGCCCAACTGAGTCACAACGTATCTGACATTACTGACAAAATACTGAACAGGACTTACAGCACAAACATTTCTTTTATCACTAGTTGCAGGTTCATGTCAGAATTACTCGAGGAAATTTATCACCAGGAGTGGTGAGCAATCTCTAGCTTTCATTTCTGCGTGTTATGCATGATCCTGAAGTTATTGGAAAATTAACATTTTTGCTCTCCCCCCCAGATCAATACCAGATACCTTATTCTACAAATGACAAGCCATCTACCTCTGCTGGAACCATGGATAATAAAAGTATGGTCTTCAAATGTAACACATTTGATTTCCAGTGGTAATGACAATTTATGGATAAATTCCACTGTGACATTTAGGGAAGGTGGCACTGAACATGAAAAAGTAACAGTGAGGACTGAATGAGTATCAAAGATGTACTGCTGTGTATATGTGCATACTATATGTTACAAATTCTGCTTCACTGAACATCCATGGATAAACCAAATCAAACCAAACCAAAAAAGAAAAAAAGCTTAATTTGCGGAGGTGAACTACATGTACCCCTAAATAAATAAAACTGGTAGAATTCATTCAAATAATTGAAATGAGTTGCCTCTTTAAATGGGACTTGACAAATAATGAACCTTGGAGAGTCTGGAGTGAGAATGTATGGATTAAATGGTGTAAATTAACACAATCTACTCCCCTGTTGGCATAGGTAAAGACATGTTGATTTACACCCCTGAGGGCTTATCTATGAGGATTCAAACTCATGATCTCACATATCTGTCATCCTAAACAAGAATTAGGCTTATACACTGTGTGTCCATATAAAACAGGCCAAGAAGGAATCAGTCGGTCAGCAGAACAGAAATTTAGTTGATGCTGTAAAAATGCAAATAATAAAACTTATCTCTCACAAACAAACATAAAAAAGAGTAGTTGGGGAGGAGTGGAGTTTGGGAGAGGGCTTCTTTTTGAATGCAATTGCAGCATCATTTATCTGCTACAGACAAAACAAACGCATCCTCATCAAATGTAGAATTTTTGTGACTATTTTTTTCTTAAAAATGGCAAACTCAAAGCATTCTCAAAATTAGGATCAAACTCCAGCAGGTTTTGTGCATCCTGAAATAGCACTTCATTTCTAAAAGAAAGAAGGTGCAGGTGGTACAGACTGGTGCTCTGGAAAAGGCCACATAGTTGTAGTCGCTCAGGTAGTTTCTCTAGGCATTACATTAAGTATAAACACAAAGGAACAAACAGTTCCAGGTAACAGACACTTACACAGCTGTTCAGAGAGAAAGAGTATTTTTTGACAGAAAATCAGGCTAGTTCACATGCACTTAAACCAGCAAATGAACAAGTGTTAATAAAGTCTAAATAAATTGGTCTACTCACCAACAATAAAAATAAAAAATACAGCATTAAGTTAGTTGCACTTAGACCTTGTGAACATGAACTCTTAAAATAAACAAAAACATGCGTCTGAAGGTTCAAGCCAGCAGGCCTTGGTAGCTGTTTGGCAGGCTGGTACCAGGAGACACTGCAGGAACCACTCAATCCCATGCTCCTGTGTGCTCCCAGGGCATTTTCTGAGTACTAGTTTGAAGGTATGACAAGCAACACTCTATCAGAGCATGATAAGACTGGTGCTATGCACAGAATTATCCTGCTTCTATAAGCTTTAATCTAGATCATAACTTGGAAAATGGGTTGTGTAGTATTAGTTCAGCTGGCACTATGGAGCTCAGGACTCTCTGTCTAAAGGCATTTAATCTCTCAGAAATTTAACATGCTCTGTGTGTCAACTGCTGTATCTCACCAGATGGATAATCTCAGCTGAAGGGGGTATCTGTGACTAGGCTGTGACAGTCAGTTCTATTTCTGTGCTGAGAGTGACAACAAATTGGTGCAAGGTGTGCAAGTACTTTTTCACCAAGATTTGTGATGAGGCTGAAAGTAGTTTGGGATCTGTTGTCCCAGGCTTCAGTTTAATAATGTATCCCCTCTTCCATCACTAAAATATGGTGCTTTGTAGCCTGGTAATTGCTCCAGATGGAATTCGCTACGCTAGTGGATAGGTCAAGGATATAATCAAAACCTGCTTGTCTCTTCCAACAACTCATAGCCTGTGACTATTAGATATGTGTGAAGAACAAGACATTGATTGCTTAAATTTAGGCCTTTGATCAAGTTGTGATGGGTTTTCCCAAAATGTTCAGCCTACTTAAATTTAAGAAAAACTGCACTACTACCACATAAGTCAAGAGGATCCAAGCCAGATTGACACAGACTGCTTTTGGATGCCCTATCCTATAACAAACCAAGGCATAATTTTAAAGAGAATAAAAATTCCAATACTTCTAGTCCCCTCAGAAATCTTAAAATGTTTGGGGAAGGTATAGAAAGTTACTTTTCAAAAGCTTTTCTGTCTTTAGAGTTTCTCTACAATAGGCAAGTTCCAGCTGAGAGACGTACTGAGACCATAATGCTCATGATCTATATGCGACCAAGTTTTATAGCAGAAAACTCAAAATTTCTATAAAGCATGGGGCTGCAAAAGCCAACCTGTAATAGAAAATCAAAGCCTACTTTTCCAAAAGTAGGTAACCCAAATTGTTAAGAAAAGGTTTACTCGAACTTCCAGACATTTTCAATTTCAGAGAAAGTCATGATAGCATAAATTGGGTTTGATGGGACTTCAGCAGGTCACACCTCCCAACCTTCTACTCAAAACAGTATCAACTGAGAAGTCTGAGCAGTTTGCCTAGGGTTTTAAACAGTCTGATTTTTAAAAACTTCAAGTAGAAAATTTAAAAAATTAATCTAATTCTGAACTTCACGGAAGTGTCTGAGTGTTGACACAAATTTCCTAGATTTCAAATACTGACTCTGCTGCTGTACTTTAGATGAGTTTTTAACTTTTATGACATTTTTGGTACTCTAAGGAACAACATTACTCTGGCAGCTGCTTCCCCCTTCCTCCCCATCCCACACAGAAGGCCAAACGGCCTGGAGGCCTGGGAGGTTAGTTGTCTCAGAAACATGAAGCAGAGATTCTCCTTCTGATTTTGCGGTTACTCTTCTGCCCATGCAAAATGAAAAGCAATTAATTAATCCCATTTATGTAAAGAAATCTTTATCTACCACTCACATTTTTAAAAAATATGCTAATAATGTATATAATGAGTCTACATGGTTATACTGAGGCAGGGAGGGTCTTAAATTCATTGCAATGGAATACAAGCATCTGTGGCTGTAGTAAGGGGCATCTTGAAGTCTTTTTTTCCTTGTTTGATTGCAGTTTTGCAGCAAGCATCCCAGAGCAAAGCTGGAAGAATACTTGCACTTTTAGCCATCTGCAGGATATGCCCAAGTTCATGAATGATGTGATTATGTTCTTCTCTCTCCTCACCTTGCCTGAGATGGTTCAGACTAATAATACAACCTAAAATTTTTCTAAATCACTTGAGACCTGAAGCTGAATTCTGTCTGAAGGCTCTCCTGATCCTTTTTTTTCCAGCAGGAACAACTGCACATTAACAGTAAAAGCACAGAAGACTGCCTACTGTTTCAAACTAAGCTTCCTCAACTTTGCATTGTTTCCTTTTTTTCAAATCAGCTGGTACCTAGTGGGTAAAGAGGTCCTAATGAAAGTCTCTCAGGACAGTTAGCAACACATTGCCTTAGAGGAAAGAGGGAAAAGCAGCACCCCAGAGAGAGACAGGACTGTGGTTTGGATAGCACATGCCTCTTCCACTTGACTGCTCATTGGCCCTAAAGAGGACAGTGCTTTCTCTTCATGGTCTCCAAGTCTACTAGGAAAAAAGTGCTTAAGTAAACTAGCTAACAGGTTTAAAACCCCAGACTGAACAAAGAACTTTTACTCATTCAAGTTATGCAGCCAATGTAGGCACCCTCATGGCATGCCCATTTTACATGTGTCTATATGCCTTGTTTGGGAGGAATTTTTACTCTGTCAAAGTGTATGTAGATTATTTAATCAGTTGTGTATCAGGAGTTACAAAAATTACATAAATTACATAAGTTACATAAATTACATAAATTACCTTCAAATGACGTAAAGTGTGTAGAGGGATTTCTTTACAGTTGTGAGCCATTTCAAGTACCATGTGTTACTTCTGGGTTTTTTTATATGTTTTCATTTTCCCACTGCAGACGGTTTAAGAAATGTCAGCCTTGTACTAAATTCTGTCTAACTGGAATAATAAAATAGTCAATGCTTCTTCAATTATGCTGTTTAGTTAAAAAATGTCATTGTAATGCAAGTAATGCAGTTGTACAAAGTACTCCGGGACACAGATGTAAGCAATTACTTAAAGGAGTAAAAACTGTGAAATATGACTATTTTAACACTTTATTAAAAATAATTTGTGTACTTTATTCTGCTATCTTCACAGCCTTCTGCTCATCTTATTAATGTATTCAGCCTAAGACTAGAAATGTTCTTGACAATTTTTTATTACTCCTACACTTTTAAAAATTCCAATTCTCTTGCCAAAATAGATGGAAAAAATGAGGTCAAACTTCAGTTCACTGACACCATCAGCACTTCTGCAATAGGTCTAAGTAAAATACAGGTGTTTGTAGCCAGTGGTGGCTGTCTCAGTGACTGAACGGGAGATTAAATTCCTGAAAATCAAAGCATGGAGGTTTGACAGCAACATGATAAGGAAATTCTTGGCTATGAACAACCAAGCACAATGGATTTGGCTCTGTCAGGGATAATATAGAACTTTGTGGTTAATATCTCACACACAGAAATGGAAAGAGTTAACCAGCCCTCCACTATTGGGGTAGGTAAGACTGGGATCTCCATAATGATGGAATGAGAAATTAAGCCTAGTTTCAGAAAGTTATTAGATAGACATGCAGCTCCTATGGAAAAGTAAACACACTAGCTATCCAGACAGGATAAAGTACCTATTATCTCTGAGGGTCTGGACTGATTACCGTCCAACTGGAAATTCACAGAGAATTTTGGTGGCTTTGGGTCCAGGAACTAACTTCTTTATAACTTCTGCAGTTTCCAGTCAGCCAGGATGTGTAACATATTGAGTGTAGATTTGCCAAGGTAATGTGCTACAGGAAGTGTCCCTTATACAAATGACCTGGACAGAATGAGGGATTGTCTCACTACAAGCATACTTCTAAATTCATTTTCAGTCAGGAGAATATATAAGTGGCATCGGGAGGCTTATTCTAAAACTCCCTGGTCACTACCCTATGGATTTCATTAGATAACTTGAAAGTGATGAAGTGAGAGACAATTCTAGACAACTGTGGTCTGAGGACATGGCACCAGCTGAAGTAATTGTTATGTAAAACACTAAAAGGAAAAGAGAAATTAATAGCCAGGCTGCATGCAAAAGTTAGATTCTAAAATATGGATCATCCTTTCAGATTAAGAATTGCTCCATCTCCATATGCATATTCAAACTGCTGCTGACATAAAATAAGACTGTTCTCCCAAATAAATTAATAAGACAGTATAAATAAAGGCATATAGACTATTAATAAACACTCTGAAAAACTCTGTTGGCAATGGAACACACTGGAGCCTTTGCTGATAGCTGCATTAACAGCTGCAGTTGGGCTGCTGTGGAGCAGGGGTGTCCTTTAGCCGTGTATTCTGGTTGCTGGCAGCAATGGTGGGATTCATCTCCAGACTTTCTGACATTTTGTCACAGATGATATCCACAAGTCGCTCAAATGTCTGCTTGACATTAATGTTTTCCTTGGCACTTGTTTCAAAAAATTCAAACCCTAAGAAAATAAACAACACATTTATGTTCTATGCATATTTCAGTTTCTCCAACAAATATACAAACTTCTCTTGGCCAAGGAAGAGTTGAGAGACACTCAGAAAGGAAACATGTGAAAGGACATATACAATAAGAGCAATTAAAATTTTAACACAATCAGATTAAATACACTATTTGCTATTTGCTTTATATAAAGCCAGATAAAGTCAGGACTGTTCCGAATATATTCCCTCAGTCAAACTCTACTTTAAAACATTCTAATCTAAAAATTTATACCGTTTTGAATGTATTATTTTAGAAACACCCTATATATGCAGCCATTGGGAAGGAATAATCTGCTGCTCCATCTCTAACTATTATGTTCCTCGGAGCATTATTCAGCTGGAAACAGCCACTTTCATGGTGTTATCAAGCTGGTGCCAAAATAGAAAACTACATTTGGAAAAGTACAGGTGAAAAACGAGCAAGACAAGGAAAAATTTTTGCAATTTGATATTTGCTAAGGTTAGACATGAATGCTTGGGGCAGAAGGGTTTAGTGACAATGAGAGGATGCCTGAGAAATGGCACCCACATTCTCATGGAGAATTTTGGTGGCTTTGGGTCCAGTTTGAGTCCAGCCTTGGAGAAGACGATAGGAAGAATAAATCTTAAGGACATTTATAAGTGAAGCAGTTTTTATAGTTAAGAAGACAATAACTGGCACATGAGATGATCATGAAATGGTCAAATATCATAGCTAGGTAAGAGATCTGGACAGAGAAAAGCAGAAAGAGAAAGGAAAAGAGTCACAAAGAAGAGAGGAGACCCACTTTGGGAAACACTGTAACATGCATAGGATTGAGAAAACAGGTCCACTGTCATGGTGAAGATGTTTTGCATTAAGGACATCATAAAAAACTTTAGAGGCATTCTCCAAGTCAAATAAAGGGTACAATTAGCACAAACTAATTTATTCAAAGAAAATAAAAACAGACAATACAGCATGGTGATTTCTATGAAATTTTAGATATAATTTTGATATAAGAAAGAAATTGCAATCATAGTAGTAGTGTAGCTGGTTATCAGACTATGATGGTATTCCATCACCTTAGACATTAATTGCCTGGAACTTCCCAGCTAGACTCTGCTGCACAGAATAGACCATGCACTGACCTGTGAGAGGGTGGCTAAACTCCCAGCTGCCTCCACAACAAAGGAAACACTATTCTTTACAGGAACTGTACAGGTGGGAATTTTGGACAGCCTTGGAAATTAACTTATACAAAACTTCCCTATAAATTTGATTGGTTCTTTTTGTTTGTTTGCTTAACTGAAACACTGTCTGTGGAAAAGTTCCTAAGAGACATAGAGCATTTTTCCTAGTGGAGTGTGCCTGTAATAAACACCTGAATTTTGGTTGTTTTCATTTTGTTATGGAATATTTTGCAGACCTTTTTTCCCATGACCTCTCCTTCCCTCCTGACTCATCTTGCATTTATTATTACTAACAGTGCTTAGACATCCTAAACTTCTAAAATCCCTGTGTATGAGGCCTCAGTTCTATAGCTTTTGATATTTTCTTCAGGATTTTTTTCCTCTGCTCATTATTGATGGAGAGAAGAGATTTTCCATGTGAGTATAACTGCAAAGTGAGGCAACTATCTGGTGACACTTAGAGAAGCGTAGCTCAAAGAACACCATGTTCCCACCACCTGTGATGATCAGTACTGCTGATGTGGATGAGACTAGGTACAGCAGATTATTGCAAAGACATGACAAAGCTCAAGAGGCAAGTAGGTAGGTAGTGCAGAACAGAGCTGAAACTAAGAAAATCCAAAACATCAGAGTGTTGTCTGAACATCTGTACAAAGCGTGTGGAACATGCATCAGGATATTCTAATTTAAATGCATTTTTTGTGTTTAATTCAGTTTTCCCTTGCTGACTCTTTCCCTTGCTGTTGCTCACCTAGTGATCTATAATGCACACAGAGCAGTTTAGATAGCTTCTGTGAAGCATACAAACACCCAGAATAACTGACTTTGTTCCCTCTCTGCCTCACACTTGTGCTGGTTCTGCAGAGGCTCCTTCATGACTGCTCATTAACACCCGGTTTATGTTTGCTTTTATAACATAAGGAAGCAAAAAGCCTAGAAAGCAGTCATATGCAAAGGCTAGAACATTCTGCACCGTCTCATCTTCCTAAGAAAATGTGACATCAAAAGGACACACTAGATAGCAAATTTTAAGTGCAATTCCACAGACAACACAGACAAGAGATATGTTAATGTTTCACCAGTTGATCAGGAAGACATTTTGATTTCAGAGTGTTTGTTCACAACCAAGACAATTTCATTTACCACTCTCAATGTTATGTTATGTTTTACAGATGTCCTCAAGGGTGTGTTCCTGCAATAACTATCATTCCATGAAGACAAGCTTGAACCGTGATCCTGAGTGCTGCTCTTCAATCTTAGTGCCTATTTCACTCCAGTATTGTGAGGAGGAGTAGTAGAAGACTGCAACAACAGAGCAAGAAATGGCTGCAGGAAACTGCTCCCTTTGTAACAGTGATATATAAAAGGCAAAGTCTAGGTACTCATGGGAATGAATAATTTAACAGTGTCATAGTGTATAAAGGAGAGGAGTTAATAAGGCTTTATTTTCTTGGATTTGCATCCTGCGAGCAGTTCAGCAGGGGGCACTGGCAGGCACTTACCTTCTTGCCTACTATGAATAGTATCTAATAAGATTTGCATTCTGTTATAGGCTATAAATCCCAGGAGGGAACTTTTCCTTCCCCTGCTCCACTGTAAGAAAAACGGAGTTTGAATGGGAAGGGGAAGGGGGTCAATTAACTTTACAAAAGATCTGGCAAAGCCAAATTCCTAGCTAATGGCCCATTGAAGGCTGGAGTGTGGGGTGGAGAAGTTTGGGATTTTTTGGGTAGCTGGCCTGGCTCTTGGGCGGGAGAAGTCAGTTTCTGGGTTCTCTCTCTGGGATGGAGACAGGGTAGCTGTCTTTGTCTCCAGTTCGGACCTGCTGTGTTTTCCTCGGAGAGCTCTGTGCTCACTGGGAGAAAAAGGAGGAGCCTTGAGACAGCGTCATCTGAGGACAACAGTGAGTTCCGTGGGGGTGGACTGCTTTCCTTTCCCTTTTCTTCCACTGGGGGAAGGGTCCCCATTCTCTTTTCGGTTTCTCCCGTGACCCCAGACCCCCCCCAGAGCCCGACAGGGCCCCCTGCAGGCCAACACAGGGTACTGCAGGCTCTGCACCTCCAGTGACCCAACAGCGCCCCCGCCAACCGTGATTAGAACTGCGCTAAAGGACAGAGAAGTATTCAGACTTTTTCTTTTGTTTGAAGGGGACTTTTTGGGTACAGGACTATTGTCTAGGGGTTTTTTGTGTGTACTGTTACTGTTCTTACCAACATACATATATCTTTTAATAAAGGGTTGTTATTTCTTCTGGTTTTTCCGCACTTCTTCGATTAAAGCCCCTTAATTTTGAATTTACAGTTGCTGAGAAAGAGGAGTTTGGTTTGTCTCATAACTCATCCTCTTTAGCAAATATTCCAGTCTCTTCAAACTGAGACACATTCACATTGCAGGCTGCCAGTCAAGGCAACTGCAATACCTTCCTCCTCTGCTCCGATATCCACTTCCTCAGAACTGTCAATGTCTTTTAGACAAAGAGAGACAGACACACATGCATGACTGCAAATGTCATCTCTCCTAGGAAACTGGACTAAAAGTAGATGGTGACCATTGCTGTTCTTCAGAGTATCCTCCTACACGAGCAACTACGGCAGCAGATCTGATTATGCTGTGCTTTGCTCTGTAGACCAGACAGAGCATTAGCTCTGCTGTCTATACAAGCCCAAGTGCTGGACTGTGTTAAGGAAAGTACTGAAACAGCATTAAGCTCCAAAACAGGACTCTGCTAATATTAAGTCAGTGAAGAGCAGTGCTTTAGCACCATTCTAGATAGAGTTAGTGTAAAGACTATTAACAGAAATGCTAAGGTATTTATCCAATCTTTGGATTTGGATGCCCAAATTTATTAACAAAATCGAAGCTAAAGGGGGACTATCAGCTATGACAGAACAGACAGACCTGAGGGATGATTACTAGTCATGCTCTAGCAAACACCTTTTTTTCTAGTCTTTTCAGAACTGAAGGTTTTATATGAATTCCAGTTGTATTAATTTTATTACGGTTTCCAGATACACTTTAAATGAGTGCATTTGGGCAATAAATTAGATTTCTGGCAAAGAATTTTTTTGGTTGTTTATAGGAGACATTGGTTGAGCAAACACGTGCTTCTCAGTGTCGTTAAGTAACTTTGCTGTAATGCAGTTCCCAGTATGTGAAAGGAATGGCAGACTGACATTTCTCTCAGTTAAAAAACATAAAAGGAGCCTTTAATTGCTCTGCCAATACTCTGTGTGTGTTGTAACTAAATAGAAGACTGGTGTTTGTCAGTGCTGTCAGTCTGCCTCTTTGGCACTAACATTTGCCCTTTAAAAAGAGCTAAAAAACAATGAAGGATGCAAGTATGAACAGGCATGTTCCTGCACAACCTGATTATTTTCATTTTTAATGTAAAATTAGATGCAGCCATATGTCCATGCTCTCTAAGTTGTGGGTGACCCTGCCTTGTGCACCAAAGCCTCCAGTCAGCCATGGAGGCAAAACAGAACTAGCTGCTCTAGCAAGCTGTGTGCTGATGTGTCAACCCCCATGGTTCCTGATTTAGATGCCAAATGTACAGCTCTAAAAATGCCCCTTCAGCTCAATGCCTAAACTCACAGCTGCCAAGTGCCCCCAGTGTACCCATAGATGCTTAAAGTACACATCATCCCCCAAGGGCTCTACCCCAAGGCAAGTGAATGTGCATTCCAGTCCTGATGCTGGGGACCTGCTGCCTTTTGCCCCAGCACTGACAAGATTCAGAAACCAGTCATGTTCCTGCCCCATCTCAGCAGCTGGGTTAGATCACATAGAATTACACCCTGTATAA